GTTTTTCAATTATCTACTTCACAAACTATATCCATATTTGCAAACAAACTTTTATAACAGGTATTATATTGTAGTCAAATGTTTTGTTAACCTGTAGTACACTATAGAATAGAGGGTTCATTGTATTGGCAAAATATTTGGTCAAATAATACTAACTTTATTTGGAAATGAAATTGAATTTTAAGCCTATTTTTAAATGTAAAAAAATCCTAAACAAAATTACCCTGCTTGAATGGCATCCACTGAGCGTCTTAGTTGACCTCCGGGTATGATTCGTTGTAATATCCTATTGACATAACGAATCACATGTAGTGGTGGCGGCACTGGAATTGGCGTCATTTGTAGGAAAGCGCCGGAAGTTAACGGTTGGTGAATTAAGACCCAGGTTAATTGCTGTTCAAACTCTTGCAGGTGGCTATAAACAATTAGGCATTTATTACATTACATATTGTTTTAGAGCACGAATTCAGTCATACATTAAGTCTCAAACATATATATTAGAGAATTAAGTGTAAACACTATTACAGAATATTCTGAGAAAAATCATAAATATAATAAAAATTGATATCAAGATTCACTTAACTCTCAGATAAAAAACTTAAAGTGAAAATAAGTGCAGACTTGAAGTGCTATCAATGATAGCTATCATATCATATGAGTAATATAAAAAAAGTCACAGAGACACTATTAGAGCGGAATATATCCGGAGACAGTTTTTACATACATTTCTGTATACAAATCAAAATATTAAATACAAATTCATCGCTATATTAATCATCAGAATTTTGCGAAAATTTTGCAGGTTTTGCGAAAACATATAGATTTGATTGAGTAGTACTTACGGCTGAAGTTGCATAACAAGACCCTGGTCACCATGAGCTCCCAGAGCACAGGTAACAAAAAAGTGTACATCTCTGGTGTCATCGAGGAGTTCATCCATTCTGGTCACTGGTCTAGACGTGAATGACTTGGATTTCAGCGAGTATTTAGTCATTTATGAAAGTTTTATATTAATCCCTAATCTTATCACAATATATGCTAATATATCAAGTTCAATTTAGGTTTCAATTTTAAATCACCTATTCATATGTGTTTATACTTGAGTCTCATGTGTGAACATACAGTATAGTGTATGACAAGTAATAAAGTGCATGATCAAACATCATACATTGAGCCCTGTTCATTTTGATTGCATGTATGCCATGTATGATAGTTTGTATAGATTCTGTATAGAATTGTACACCACATCCCTTTCCCGTGCTATACGTTAAGTATGGATAGGAATACAGCTTTAGAGTGAGTCTCCTATCATACAGTAGAGGGAACGGTATGTTTGTTGGGCCAACACTTGCGTATTCATACAGACAGTGGTAAACATAATGTGATTGTTTGGCAGCCTTTGCATTGCGTTAACGCATAGACAACAGTACTATTGGCTGTGAATGCTCAGCAAACCAATGACAACACAATTGAATGATTCAGTGATTCATGAGTTATTGCAATCAATTGTCCCTCAAATACATCACCACTACTAGTGTTGCCCGCAGTGGTCATCACAGGTGATAGTCTTGTGCACCCAATCCACTGATCACACCATTTGTTTACTCATTGATAATCCAAACAATAACTTGCGATTCAGTGATATTTAGCCACCGATGGTCTGGTGATAGTATCGGCACGTGATTCACGCAACCACTCATTCACCTCAAGACAAACCAATTGATTATCACCAGTAATAGTGTATGTTATGTGTTGGTGACCATCACCACCAACTGATCCCTAGCTATGGAAGACTACAAGTTCTTGTTTAAGATCGTATTGATTGGCAACGCGGGTGTCGGCAAGACATGTCTGGTGCGGAGGTTCACACAAGTATGCCATCCATTGTCTTACCACTCGTACCACTAATCATGATAAGAGCCCACAGTCTCTCACTTTCTCTGTCTATCACTATATGAGCCCTTAATTAGCTGTCAATTAACACCTTTTCAATGCCTTTCCCATACGATAGGGTGTATTCCCCGGAGGACAGGGCGCCACCATTGGAGTCGACTTCATGATTAAGACACTACTAATTAATGGTACTATCATTGTCTTTACCATTCATTTAATTATCTGCTATTTATTGTCACTATTTCTTAACATAACCCCTGACCTCCCAAAAAGGGTTGTCCCACACCTATACCCCATAAATACATACATTAATTAATAACTAATATCAATGAGTTTGAGGTAATATCAAAACCCTATTGCAGTGTTAACTGTAAGATATGGTTATTATCTGTAAATGTTATGCAAGCGTATGTTCACTACCCGTCCACCCGATCCCTATCCCAACCCTGAGTTCGTAGTGTTTGTCTGTTTTTGTCGATTTGATTAACTGTTGAGTTGCCATACCATTGCCAACGATATCTCCAAATGTTAATCAATATAACTGGCGATCAATTAATTGTGCGATTAGTTTGTGATGTTTTTCAATGGGAAGTGAATTATTGGGAAATTTAATACCATTTCTCTAGCGTTTAGTTTCCATTTAATAGTAGTTTTAGTTTTTTTTGTGTAATTTGTGAGAAATTTTTAGTCAATTTTCTGTTTTGCAGATGAGCTTCAAAATGGTTTTTATTTTTTAGATTATTTTTTGTTAGAGAGAGAGAGAGAGAGAGAGAGATCGCATGAATTGTTTGTAATTTTGTGTGTCTTTTAAAAGTTTATTTTTTCGGTTATTTTGTGTATTATTTTCTCTGCACTAATGACAAAATCACGAGTGATTTCAAGTGTTTTTGTATTTTTCAGACAATTATTTCCTTTAAAATTGTACTATTTTTTCCTTAACTTAAAAACTCATAAAACTTTTCTCAAAATAGTTTTTAATTAAGACTTTACTCGCGTTTTGCAATTTAGTAGTGAATTATAGTTTGCCTTTAAGTGATAATTACTGTTATTTTCTCGAGATATATATCTTAAGTCTCCAGAAATCACAGGATTTGGTATTGAACTCAATATGTATAACAAGATTATGACTCAAAAAACATTGAAATCTAATTGAAAATCTAGAAATTGAATATAATTTGAGTTTTCAAATATTAAAATATGCAAAATATAAGTGAATTTTGTTTTTGATTTTAGTTTTGATTTTGTTTTCAATTTACGGATAAAATAGTCATAAAATTAATATGAATTTTACCGATCGAGTGGTGGATCTGAGAGTAGGTATGAGTTTATAACTTATACCTGTAATTGGCTTTTAAATGAAATGTTTTAATAGATTTGCATATTGAGTACAAATTGTCAATTAATGGGACATAAGATTTACATGACTGATGAATCCATTTGACTATTCATAGCGTTATTTAATTGAGTTTCACATTTGGTATATCAATACGGAATAGCCATTGATGTTAAGTAACAAAACGAAAAATTGATTTCCAATTTGTGGGTTAATAGCATTTGACAGCATTGAGTGAAAAGTTACACTTAAAATATGGGTTAACTCTTCTCATGCATTCATATGACAGCGAAAAACACATTTGTCTCAAATATAAGACTTTATTATTATTGTATTTATTAGTGAATTATTTTTAGAAAATCCTGTTTTGTTGGTATAGTCTGCGAATCGGTATTAAAAAATTTGTATTTACTCCACAAATACTGATTAAATTCATTTTAAATAAGTCTCACTATAATTGTTTTTAATGCTGGATATACTCTTATCGCTACCTATTATTTAAATTATTACTTTTTTTTGTTTTACTTTTTTACTACAATTTTAGAGTTATAACTAGGAGTTCATCAAACTTTTTGGGTGAAAGACTCGTTT